ATTGCAATTGCTTTCCAACCTTTGACCCCTGAGTGTGATTAGCATCTGATTTCTCCTTACAATATCACCCCAGTATCACACATTAACGTAACGAGAATAAAGGAAATGATCATTAACTGAAGAAGCTCTTGATTATTAAAAAAATTCTCCTTGTCGGCACCTCTAGAACGTACAACGTAGAGCATCCAAATGTGCCCTTGGAAAAATTGGGAAAGATATGACCTACGAAGAGCACTTTAAACTTCTTAAATGGCAAATACTTGAGCAAAGAAGATTATTCTCGTCACTTACCGAGTGTTATAAGACAATAAAATGACTTAATGGACTTGATCCCTTGACATTTTTCACGTTTGCACACGATTTTCAGCCTTTACGAGCCAATCACCGTTTTAAACTTAAGTTTGCATCAGCGACCTTAAATAATTTCAAAATATTCATTTTTTATATACGTATAATTAATAGTTGGAATAATCTGCCAAAGGAAATCGCTGAGGCGGCAAATTTGAATATTTTTAAGAATAGGCTGAGAAGTCACCTCGTAAATCTTGCTAGTTAACGTTCAGTTCTTATTCTTGATGTATTATATATATAGTTGTATCTAAATTAATGTCGTAGTCTATTTTATCAGGAGATAAGCTAGAAAGGGATAACCTCTTTTGTCTCCTTTTCACTTTTTATTGATTGTGAATAAACATTTATTGTTATCATTAGAAGTGTAAAGAGAACAGTGTGGAGAATTTGCTTACTGACGGCAGTATGTAAACGGTTTGGTGATTAAAAATACAGATAACTTTTATAAGTCCTTTTACGACAATTCCATCACTAAGCCCTATGTACATTTAAATATTGTTAACCACATCACTTTAAATGTACTATTTGCTGGTGAAGATAACATGTCTATAATTATTTGTCAGAAATTTTGAGTTTCTCAAGTCAGAGACCCATATTAGGCTTTTGCTCAGGTTTTTAATTTGTAGAAGAATTTGATTTAACTTTTTTCATAACAGGTATGACTATTTGAAGATTGCAAACGAAAAAAGTGAGACATTTGGTGGGCTCAATGGAAAGTATTGTGGTATTATATCTGGAACCGTCCTCGTCACTGGTCAGTACGCTGTGTTCACATTTCATTCAGACAGCAGCGTCACACGCAAAGGATACAACTTAACATTCATGTTTGTCCCTACCGGCTGTAAGTAGTGTGACGTTTTGTTTTTATATAAATTTAAATAAAAACAAAAATATACACATAATACATCATTAGAGATATAATTTAGTTTCGTCAACTGGACAATGTGGCGTAATCATTACATCATTGCTATGGGGTAGACTGCTGATCACACGAATGCACGTTTCATAGTAGTTTGCTGCGGCACATAAAATCACGTGATCACCCCAAGCGCCATCTTGTTCCATGTGTGTTAAATAGTCAGTCCATGTTTGATATCCATGGACAAAGTTAAATAGATCTGTTCCATCCGGCTGTAAAAAAATCAGTCAAAGAAACAAACTTTAAAGAGGATTTTTGATAGCAACTTTTGATTATGTAGACAAATGTCACATAATCCAAAGCCGTTGTTGTTGATTATCTTTTTCCAAGGAACTGCTTTAACACAAGGTTGTAAGCAGACTTGGAAACATTTCAAGAGGGAAAATATAAACAATGTTGCAGAGATCCAGGGGTGTATTCGAAGGGGAAATTTAGACAAACTGGGCATCCAAAAATGCCATTTTCTGATTTCTGATTTACTTTCATTCTACATTTATCGAATATCTGCGAGCCAATTTTAAAATACTATAATAAGTATAAAACTTTATGATGTCACCGTAGGCTTTATAAAAGAGTTTATTGTGTCGCTGTCGCATTTTAGAAACGTGATTGTATCGCTTGCTTGTGTTGCCGTATAAAAATTAATCTCGATCGCCACTATTTAAGGCCACGTTAATCTATTTATCGCTTTCAACGCTTCTTGAAGGTATCTATCACATGAACAAAAAAATAGAAAAAAAAAAATAGAATTAAAATAGGCACTTACTCTGAACGTCTTTCTGGATACAGACTGCTTTCCCAGAAAAGCATGACTGCCATGCATATATAAATTTTAATTAATGTCGATTTGAAAAGTTTCTAGGAATATTTCAATATGCATGTCAAGGGGTTTATATTCGATCCAAATATATATTTAAAAAAAATTAGTAAGTAAAACTTGTGCGATCATTCAACATACCCTCCCGATGAGAATAACTGATACGTACCTTTCGAAGTTGTCACACTTCATTCTGCGCCACCTGAACTTGAAGAGCTGGAAGCAACGCTTGGAGGAGTATCCGCCACTTTTTTTTTTTCCTTTGGTGGAGCGTGAAGACAGGGACCTGGGTATGACGTACAGAAATGAACCGGAGAATGATCACAACAATCATTTTCGGACGTGTGGTCAATTGATCCTAATGATAATTTCTCACCGGGTGGATATGTTGCATTAGTAATAATTGGTGTCAGACCTAATAATTTCTCACCGGGAGGATATGTTGCAATAGTAATAATTGGTGTCAGATAATTGGTGTCAGACCTCCAGCAAACCTCTCCATGACTCCAACGCCTCGTCTCCAATCTTCCCACGGGTGGAGAAACACGTGTCCTGTAGCGCTATATATATATATATATATATATATATCTATATATAAAGTGCGACTTGATTTTCGTAGAACAGTGCTCAATACATAGAAGCAGAGCGAAGTATATATATATATATATATATATATATATCAGGACCCTATATATATATATATCAGGAGCTATATATATATATATCAGGAGCCTGGGGTCAGGATGTAAGATAACGTTCTGGACGAGTAACTTGATCCCTCACGTGACTCGACCGAGACAAAACTCTAGCAGAGTCCAAAGCTCAGAATTTCATTCTCTATGCTTAAGTGTCAAAAATGGCCAAATTTCACTTAGATTACGTTTCTCTTTTAATTACTGCGTAAAAATTCTTTTTAGATGCTGAAATTGGTTTAACATCAATGAATGTTTTATTATTATTATCCTTATTATCATTATTATATGAAAAAAGCTATTTATATAAACAGCAACATTGATTTTAGCAAAACACAATCTATTGAGCTAATTTACATGGGAACTGATACGATTACACAATGAAGCTGATTTCAACTGAATGTGACGTGTCAGTTTAGGGTCGCATTGGATATGCCTTTCATACATACATACATACATACATAAGCTTTATTTATACACGGTATCAATTTCATATAAAATATGCTCTTCCATCGAGCCGTGTGTAACTTAAATATACAGATAATCATTCATAAGCAATCTAAAACCAGCACTATTTCTACTAATTAATACAGTTATACAACTTATGCTAATACTAATCAATACTATAAAACAACAGCAATGCTCTGTGATTGGTTAACAACAATCGCCCCTGCCCCTCAACCGTTAGAGCCAACAATAACTTAACTTATGGAATTTTTCTCTTTCCCTAGTAACTTCTATTTACTTCACAGTAGACCTCTTGTGGTATTTTCATTAGCTTCTTTCCATTGTTTCATTGTTCCTTTCATTGTTACAATTCAGCAGTCAATGGTACCCAGGTTCCACCAACAATGTACACTACAAATCCGCCTTGGTATACCACAGCACCACCAAACGGTAAGCACACAAAAATACTACAACATTCAAATTCGTTTCATGAAGGCCGTAAAATTCCACCGTGTCACTGTTTTCTCTTTTCCTAGTAACTTCTACTCACTTCACAGTTGGCCTCTTGTAATATTATCTTATCTTTCTGTTCTTGTGTTTGTTATCTTATCTTTCCGTTCTTGTATTTGTTTTCAATTCATCAGGTAATGGTACCCAGGTTCCACCGACAGTGTACACCACAAATCGACCCTGGTATACCACAGCACCACCACAAGGTAATAACATAAAAGTACTACAACATTTAAACAAGTTTCGCGAACGTTGTAAAAGTCAACTGTGTCACTTTTTTTAAAAAAAATAATCCTATCTCTTTTTTTGTCTAGGTGGTTGTGGATACGTGCAAAATAATCAGCTGACAAGTCCCGGATATCCAAACAATTATCCGAATTGGATGGACTGTAGTTATAGGGTTAACATCTACCCTGGCTGGACGCTCAGAATTTACTTCAGGCACTTTGAACTCGAGTCACATTCTAGTTGCAGGTAAGTGAAGTGTGAGGCAAACATGTTGCAAAAGTAGCGTAATGCATCAGTTCTTCCATACGAACAGAACAAGCGATACTAGACTTGGATGGGTGGAAAGGAGGGGTAAGGGCTGTGGCTAGTGGGGATAAGAAAGAAGGGAAAATGTGCTGCACCTTCGGTGCAGGCTGTTAGTGTAGAGTATGGTTTATGAGGGTCGTGATGGGATAGGGAACTCACTACCTCACAAAACATATTCGCTGGTCAATTTTTTGTTTAAGTATAGTACGATTTTATCTTTAACAGTTAGGTTATGGGCTTCTACGATTTTATCTTTAACAGTTAGATTATGGGCCTGAGAGTTCTATCGCGTGGTAACTAAAATCTCATTTTTCGGTAAAAGAGATAAAGTTCTCATTTCTCACCCCCTCCTCCCTAAGGCCACTCCAGAAAAAGCGATACTAAACTTGGATGGGTGGGAAGGAGGGGTAAGGGCTGTGGCTAGTGGGGATAAAAAAGAAGGGAAAATGTGCTGCACCTTCGGTGCAGGCTGTTAGTGTAGAGTATGGTTTATGAGGGTCGTGATGGGATAGGGAACTTACTATCTCACAAAACATATTCGCTGGTCAATTTTTTGTCCAAATCCAGTACCAAGTCACACTGCGATTTTGTCCGTAATGTACTTATCAGTTATGTCGATAGTTTTGTCACGTGCCATGTTGTTTGTTTTTTTCTTTAAAGATATGACTACTTGAGGATTACTAATGAAAGGAATGTCATATTTGGAAAGTACTGTGGCGTCAAGACTGGACGAACTGTATCTGTGACTGGACGTTATGCAGTGATAACCTTCCATTCAGATAGCTCCTTCAGCGGAAGAGGATATAAACTGATCTTTACATATATAAACAGTGGTAAATGTCATAGTATAGAAATGACTAAGGGGAGTGGGGTTAGGACGCCTCTTCCCACTTTCACCTGGGTTCGATTGACCCGATTCATGTGGGTTGAGTTAATTTTTAATTATCGTCTAAGCTCTAAAGCTTTCTCTCCGGGTTATCTCGCACAGATCCCCCAACCGTTAAACCAACAATAGCTTAACGTATGGACCACTGCAAATAGGAAAGATTAGCCTTTGCTATTTGCATGATCCCAACTCGCTGCCTATTTTATTGCTAGTTTTTTTTCCTGTGCTGTACTGTGTTTAGTTGCTATGTACATTTAACCTACATATCTTGTAAAACCGAGCCGAGTTAAATAAATCATCTTGTCATCTTTGCCCACCAACAGGGTACCCCACAAATCCACCATGGTTTACTACAACACCACCAAACGGTAAGCACACAAAAACACTACAACATTTAAATTCGTTTCATGAAGGCCGTAAAATTCCACCGTGTCACTGTTTTCTCTTTTCCTAGTAACTTCTACTCGCTTCACAGTTGGCCTCTTGTAATATTATCTTATCTTTTCGTTCTTGTATTTGTAATCTTATCTTTCCGTTCTTGTATTTGTTTTCAATTCATCAGGTAATGGTACCCAGGTTCCACCGACAGTGTACACCACAAATCGACCCTGGTATACCACAGCACCACCACAAGGTAATAACATAAAAGTACTACAACATTTAAACAAGTTTCGCGAACGTTGTAAAAGTCAACTGTGTCACTTTTTTTAAAAAAAATAATCCTATCTCTTTTTTTGTCTAGGTGGTTGTGGATACGTGCAAAATAATCAGCTGACAAGTCCCGGATATCCAAACATTTATCCGAATGGGATGGACTGTACTTATAGGGTTAACATCCCCACTGGCTGGACGCTCAGAATTTACTTCAGGCACTTTGAACTCGAGTCACATTCTAGTTGCAGGTAAGTGAGGTGTGAGGAAAACATGTTGCAAAAGTAGCGTAATGCATCAGTTCTTCCATATGAACATGACATGCGATACTAGACTTGGATGGGTGGG